TTTTTTCGGAGTTTGAGGCATACTTACCTGGTACAGAAGCTACCGTGAAAGGTAATTTTGTATCTGCTAATACTAATCTGTTTGATCAGTATATAATTTCAGAATGCCTGTACTAGTCAAGAAACCGTCGTTGAAAACAGATTTCTTCAATCCTGTAGACGTGGAGAACGCCATAAAAGTGTATGGTAGTGGCTTTATTATACCCCCACAAACGAAGTTTAGGGGGGGTATATAGGAGTCAGCTTGTCGGTCGGTCGGTCGGTTGGTCGGTCGGTCCGTCCGTCGGTCGGTCCACATCATGGTTTCCGGACGATAACTAGAGTTTGGAATGAGGTATTGTAATCAAACTTGGTATATAGCAACCTTATGTGGAAACTCCGGTTGGTATTGCATTTGGACCCCCTGGGTCAAGGTCAAGGTCACCGTTATTAAAAATAGAAAAATGGTTTCCGGACAATAACTAGAGTTAGGAATGAGATATTATTGTTATCAAACTTTGCGTATAGCAAGCTTATATGAAGACCTGGGTTGGTATTGCAGTTTTAGGCCCCCTGGGGTCAAGGTCAAGGTCATGGTTACTAAAAAATAGAAAAAAATGGTTTCCGGACAATAACTTTGAGTTAGGAATGAGATATTGTAATCAAACTTGGTGTATAGCAAGCTTATATGAAGACCTGGGTTGTTATTGTATTTGGACCCCCTGGGGTCAAGGTCAAGGTCACTGTTACTAAAAATAGAAAAATGGTTTTCCGACAATAACTAGAGTTAGGAATGAGATATTGTTATCAAAACTTGGTGTATAGCAAGCTTATATGAAGACCTGGGTTGGTATTGCATTTGGACCCCCTGGGGTCAAGGTCAAGGTCAACCGTTACTAAAAATAGAAAAATGGTTTCCGGACAATAACTTGAGTTAGGAATGAGATATTGTAATCAAACTTGGTGTATAGCAAGCTTATATGAAGACCTGGGTTTGTATTGTTTTTGGACCCCCTGGGGTCAAGGTCAAGGTCACCGTTACTAAAAATAGAAAAATGGTTTTCCGGACAATAACTAGAGTTAGGAATGAGATATTGTTATCAAACTTGGTGTATAGCAAGCTTATATGCAGACCTGGGTTGGTATTGCATTTGGACCCCCTGGGGTCAAGGTCACCATTCCTTAAAATAGAAAAATGGTTTCCGGACAATAACTAGAGTTAGGAATGAGATATTGTAATCAAACTTTGTGAAAAGCAAGCTTATTTGGAGACCCCAGTTGGGATTACAATTAATTGAAATATTTCTTTGTACACAGTTGATAGTTTGTGTTGAAATTTTTCTTCAGACTACTTATTTTTCAAAAAGTTGCTGGTGGGGGTATTAATCACCTTCAGTGATAGGTCTAGTTTCGATTGCTGACGTTTGTAACATCTTGGCGAAGTTACAAATTCCTCCTTTAAGAGTAGCTGCCCTGCAGAAAGGAAAAGACAATAGAGATGGGGTGCTTCTAATTTTGAACAACAAGGAAGACGTTGAAAAGGTAAGAAGCTCTTCTTCTTACGTTGTTGGGAATAAAACGTTTATTGGTTCATTACATTGATAGATAACTTTCAGCTTTGTTTATTAAACAATCGGTCACCTACATATTTACATCCAGCTACAGGTACGTTTTCTTGCATCGACCTCTCGATTGTCCACTCTGCTATATTCTTTGACTTCGATTGGAAAGTGTTAGATGACCAGTACGGCAGTGATCATTTTCCATTGTTACTTACATGACATCAAATGACTCTATACCAGATGAAAGACGTCAATTTTTTAACTTTTAAGAAAGCAGATTGGGAACATTTTCTAGGCTCTGTTCCATTGATCTAACAAAAAATGAATTTAATTTCACTTCTGCTGATATAGCTGAAACGTTTTTTCTTCAGCATTACATACTATTGCCTGCTAAAGTTGTTCCATTAACAAAAAATAATAGTAACAAAATCAAAAAGCCATGGTTTAACGATGAATGTAAAAAAGCTGTTCGCATACGTAAAGCTTCACTAAAAAAGTTTGAACATCGCCCTACAACAGAAAACCTTGAAAATTATAGAATATTTAGAGCTAAAGCTAGAAGATCAATTCGTTCGTCTAAACGCAAATCCTGGCAATCATATGTTTCAATTATTAATTCAAATACTCCTATTAAGAAAGTCTGGGATGCAGTACGGAAAATAAGTGGTAAGTATAAAAAGAGTCCAATTGTTCACTTAAAAACTGGTGATGGCCAATATGCCAAAACAAAAACGGATATTGCAGAAACTTTGGCTAAAACATTTGAAAAGAACTCTTCTTCAAACAATTATTCAAATGAATTTCAACAACACAATGTAAAGCTGAGAAAGAACATATTAATTTTACTTCAAGAAATGACGAAGACTATAATTCCCTTTTCTCTATTGACGACTTAATTTATTCAATTAAAACTGCAAAAGACAGTGCTGCAGGCCCGGACGAAATTTACTACCAGTTTCTTAAACACCTACCGCCCCATTCTCTTGACTTGCTTCTTGAAATTTTTAACAGAATTTGGGTTTCTGGTGAATTTCCTAACACTTGGAAAAATGCGTTGGTTATTCCTATCCCTAAACCTGGAAAAGATTCAACTGACCCTACAAATTATCGCCCAATTTCACTGACAAGTTGCCTCTGCAAAACATTCGAAAGAATGATAAATAATCGGTTAGTTTGGTATCTAGAAAATAATGGAATTATTACTAATTTTCAGTCAGGTTTTCGTAAACAGCGAAAGTACAAACGATCATCTTGTACGACTTGAAACTTTTATTAGAGAAGCCTTTGTAAATAAACAACACCTGGTATCAATTTTCTTTGATCTTGAGAAGGCTTACGATACTACTTGGAAATATGGTATCCTAAAAGATCTAAAGGATGCTGGACTTAAAGGCAGACTTCCTCTTTTCATTTCTGGATTTTTAAACGATAGGCACTTTAAAGTAAGACTTGGTTCAACTTTTTCTGAGGATCACCAACAAGAACAAGGTGTTCCTCAAGGAAGCATACTTTCTGTTACACTTTTTGGCCTTAAAATAAACAATAATGCTAGCGCTCTTACACCAGGCATAGATTGTTCTCTATATGTAGACGATTTTCTTATCTGCTATCGATCGAAAAGTATGAGAACAATTGAACGGCAACTTCAACAAAATTTAGATAAAATTCAGAAGTGGGCAATAGAAAATGGGTTTAAATTTTCAAAGTCAAAAAACTCAATGTGTTCATTTCTGCCGATTGCGAAAACAACATAATGACCCTGAACTTTACATATCTGGTTCTAAAATTCCAGTAGTTGATGAAGCTAAGTTTCTAGGAATTATATTTGATAAAAAACTTTCTTTTATACCACATATTAAACATTTGAAAACTAAATGCCTAAAAGCTTTAAATTTACTTAAGGTTTTATCAAGTACAAATTGGGGATCAAATTCTTCCACATTACTGAAATTATACAGAAGTCTTATCCGATCAAAATTAGATTATGGTTCTGTAGTATATGGGTCCGCGCAAGAAAATCGTATCTTCAAATGCTAGATACCATACATCACCAGGGTTTACGTTTAGCTTTAGGTGCTTTTCGCACTTCACCTGTAGAAAGTCTATATGCGGAAGCTGGGGAACCATCGCTTTATCTTCGTCGTAAAAAACTATCACTTCAATATGCAACTAGAATTTCATCTAATAGGAAAAATCCAGCTAAAAATATTATTTTTCAAACCAAGTTATACTGAAAAATTTGTTAGCAAACCAAAGGAAATTAAACCATTAGGCCTTCGTTTAAAAGATGATTTAGATAAACTTAAAATTAATCCAGACAGTATCCTTCAAAATGACGATGAGGATGTTCCACCTTGGACTTATAATTCCCCGGAAATAAATATTAACCTTTCAAATATAAAAAAGGCATCAAATTCACCTGAATATTTCAAAGAGAAGTTTCAAGCAATTAAGGAAGAACATGAAGATTTTATACATATTTATACGGAGGGTTCAAAAGAAGGTTGCAAAGTAGGTGCGGCTGTGTTTGAAAATAACTTTACATCTAGTATGAGGTTACCAGATAATGCATCAATTTTTACTGCTGAAGCAAAAGCTATCGATTTAGCATTGTCATACATAGCACAGCATACCCACGATAAATTTGTGATATTTTCTGACTCGCTTTCTGTTTTAAATATCCATAAAAAATAAAAAATCTGACAATATCATGGTAAAGAAACTTCTTTTGCAATTTCATGATATACTAAAAACAAAATATGTTAAATTATATTGGATTCCAAGCCATGTAGGAATACGAGGAAATGAAAAAGTAGATGCTTTAGCTAAACAATCATTAAATTTTCAAAAAACTGACTTATTGTTACCTGCTTGTGATTTTAGACCGGCTATAAATAAACTCGTATCATCTGAATGGAAAGCAAATTGGGACAATGCCGTTTTTAATAAACTTCACGATATAAACCCATCTCTTGATATGTCACCATCTCTATCTCTGTCAAACCGCCGTGATCAAACAGTTCTTCTTCGATGCCGAATTGGACACACTAAAATTACCCACTCTTATCTCCTCACAAATGACAATACCCCTTTCTGTGTAGGTTGTAATGAAAATTTTACTGTCAAGCATTTTCTTCTTGAATGTAATGATTTTTCACAGGCCCGTAATAGATTTTATTCTGTAAATTCACTCAAAGAACTTTTTAATACAATTCCATCAAAAAACATAATTGATTATTTAAAAGAGATAAACTTGTATTCTAGGATCTAATTGGCTCATTTCTATTGTCATTTACAATGTTTTACATAATATTTTAAGCCTATTATAGCATTCGGCACGATATGGCCAGTTATGTGTTGACGTGCCGTAAAAATCCAAACAAACAAACAAACAAAAAAAAAAAAACAGGGTTGTCATTAAGAGCCGGCTGCCCGCCAAATTGACCGTTTCAAACTATATTTGGGCCGGCTCAAATTTCCACACAAAAAAAAACGGACGAAAATCGCGACGACAACGATATTTTTCCCCATTTCGTGTGAATATTAACTGTCCCGTTCCTGATTTACAAGAAGGTCGAATGTTAAGTGTTCCGCGATTGGTCGATGGTAGATTTAGTCCAATCGAGAGATCTGTTACATTACATCAACTCCATTTGCGATTTAAACAGCAAAAATACATGTTTACTAAATTATGAAGAAAAGAAAAATTGATGATTTTTTTGTGCGTGTCACGGGTAAGGAACAATTCTGGACGATGTTTATGACACTTTTGTTATTGGAGTTTGTTATTCACTTGACATTTGGAGAAGTTTTGAACTTGAATTTGTGTTACACAACGCATATGTTATGTTGCAGTTCTTTGAAGTTGGATGTTTTCCTTTCGAAAATTAAGCACGGTAAGTGATTTTATTGGTTTCAAAGCATTTTTGCACAGGAGGGTCAGAGTTTCATTAGGATAAGTGAGACTTTGAAGTCCCAAACCGTCCTGATTTTTTTCTGCATTCCCACACGATCTGCATAGTTGATAATTGAGTTGTTTTTGAGTTAAACAGTTTGAGGTGTACATTTTTGACAAAAGAAGTAAAATTTTCTAAATAAATGTGAAATTCTTTAAATGAAAAAAGTGAATAGGTTAGAGATGCTGATTTGATTACACACATTTTTTAATTGGGGTTTCACTGACAAAATATCTAGGCAATGGAAATAAATTTTGTAAATTGACGATATGACCAATGGACCTGTCATAAAAATGATTTCCATGTGTCATAGTTCAGAACTGTTCATTTAGGGGAGACGTGTAAGTGGCCGGATAACTTGTGCTACGGTATTCCAAGGGTCTCTCACTCCTGGGTTCAAGTCCGGTCAGGCTGCACATTTTTTTCAACCCTGTGTCAGATAAATATTTTAGAAAATCAATAATTTTGGCTTGATAATTGAATTTCTAGAAATTATGAAAATTCATCCAAACCATATGACAATGTAGTTCAAGCATACAGTATTTCATACTCGGCAGTGATTACAAAAAATGGTCGGCAAAAGTCATGTAATTGGCATTAATAAACTGGACATGGTATGCATAAAACATGATTTTTTTTTTACTGAAATTGTCTAAACGCCTAAAACGGGTATGAATAAGAATTACAAAACAAATTGATATTTGAAGTATGTATATTATTGATCTTTCGCATTCGGTGTATCACAATATTTGTTGTCTCTCTGAAATATCATTTATTTGCTTTGTACTGAATCAACGTCAGCTCTAATGACCTGGCAATTTTTTATGCCCACAATGTGGGGAGATATAAGCGTTTTTTAGCACCCTTTGTTCCGCCGTCCGTTCCGTCCAAGTCCG